AATACAAATATACATATACATATATACATATACACCCGACGTGACCAAGTAAGTGACAAGTTAGGTTATACACAAATTAGAATTTCTCATTATAAATAATTATATAATTAAATATATTAAAACTAATTATTTTTAATAATAAAAATAGTTATTATTCTTATCAAATTAACAGCTTTTTAATCTCAATAAAAATTTTGAAAAAAATAGGAACAAGTAAGTCTAACCCACTAACTCAATATATTTTTTAATTCTAATCAAATACAAGCACACATATAGATATATATTAATAGCTATCTATCTATCTATATTTATGTATATATATACATGTGTATGCGCGCGCGCGCGCGCACACACACACACACACACACACACATATATATATATATATATATATATATATACAAGTATATGTATATACATACATGTCTATGTACATATATGCAAGGCCCAATCGCGTGATTCTCGGGATACAAAGAGGAATGTGACAGTGCAATTCTGGAAGGGAGAGCAGGAAAGTTTTTGATTTTACATTACGGGTTGAGTTCACTTGATGGAATATAAAAGAGAGTCATCCGCGGTTTGTTTAGGGCAGACGAATGATAAAAAAATAGAAAAGGGGGAGACTCTGGAGTAGTGATGTCAAAATAAAATGATTTATAGTAGGCTTATATGTGTATGCTGACTAATAAAATTCACCCCTTATAGTGTTAGTTGAGGACGTTAATTGATATAATTTTAAATGATACTCTTGTGATGGATTATATACATATATATGCTCATACCGTGGGCTGTTGGTAGAGCAACCTATCTGAAGGTTGTAAGTCCCCTCAAGTCACAGGTTCGAATCCTCCCGTGTATAAGATGTGATACTCGAATATTTAGCACACCTACGGATGATCGGGGCTTTGTTAGGGTTTCGCCTCATGGCGAACCCTAGCAACTGTTATGGCAAGCTATCACATCGAATCCTCTTCTTTATTCACTGCGTCTTCTCTGGTGTCCCTTCTTCGTCGTCGCCGTCTTTGAAAGTCGCCGTATTCTTTCCTCGACGTCGTCTGCAAGGTTCGCTGCTCTCCTTTCCTTCGCCGTCCTCACCTCTCATCTTCTTCCACGACCCACGCCGCTCACATTCCTCGGGCTCGAGCAGAAACTGCCCTCTGTTTGAGTAGGTTGTCGTCTCTCGCCTGCAATCCTCAGGCTCGAGTTGAAATCGCAGGGGCTTCACAGAGGGGTTTTCGCTCCTACTCCCTGTTTTGGATTCTGATTTTGCTCTCTGTTTTACTTTCTTCACTGTTCTTAATGCCTCACCTCCGTTTATTGGGGATGACTTCAGACAGATCGTATGTTGCTGCCCTTGCAGGTGTCCACGCCTCAGGTGCAGCTAAATCCTGCTCTTTCCCTTCGTTTGAGTGGGCGGAGTACATCAAGAAACCTGGTAGGAAGAATGAGAAGTTCGCCATCTTTTTTACAGAAGCTGAAGGCGTTTAACTTGCTTCTTTCTGTCGACTGAATTTGGTCGGTAAAATTTTATATGACCATCCCGAAATGGAGTTGACTCGTAAGGAATTTGAGCTTATGCACCTTGTTCGGGAGTGGAAAATTGGTCTGTTAGATGGAATGCACATTCTTGTACAACTAAATAATAAAGAGGATTACACGCGATTATTTGCTAGAAGGATAATTTGGATTGATAACAAAGCAGTGGAGATTTTGAAATGGTCTGTGGATTTTGACCCACAGACGGAATCTCCAATCATTCCGGTTTGGATTCGTTTCCCTGGTCTGAAATTTCATTATTTTACCAAAAAAACGTGTTATACTCTATTGTCTCAGCTTATAGTAAGTCACTCTTACTTTTAATATTTCTCGTCCATCTAAAGCCAGAGTATTTGTGCAAAGAGACATCATTTTATCCGCTTCTGAGGAAATTTGGTTGGGCACACAACGCCATGAATATTGACAAAAGGTAGTGATTGAGCATTTTTTTTCATATTGTTCGAACTGTCATATGTTCGACCACTCCAATTCTCAATGCCACCATCTACAACCCCACCTCAAACACCTCAGACCAAAAAAGCATAGTGCTCCGCCAGAGTCAGTGAATTCATCTCCTCCTGATCAGCTCCAAGTTATTGACACCATTGATCATCAAAAAAATATCCCTAAAGATATCACTATTCTCGTAGGCAATATGACAATCATTCAGTCCTCACACAATATTGTAGCTCCCCCGCCTTTAGAACCTTCTTTCGTGGGGGAGAGGGAGATTCTTCAGACCCCACCTGCCCTAAAACTTATCACCGATATTACAGATGTAAATACTTCTACTGCTTCACTACCGCCTGATCAGGTTGAGCAAGTTGTTAATGTTACTTTGGCTCATGGGGATCATGATGTGTAGCAGCCTACACTTGTCCGACCAATTTTGGAACAATCTATTGATCAGATGAGTCAATCATCGGATGAGGAATGACAAGTCTAAACATCCAGAAGGAAGAAGAAGAATGGAGACCTACTTGAGCTCAGGAATCTGATGGATGATACTTTGGTTACTTCAGACAATGATACTCACCTTACCAATTTGTTAACTAGCTGACTTCCGAGATCTAGAGGCAGAGGGAGGACGAAAGTGGGACGTCTCTAACAATTTTGCTCCCTTTGGTGGCTTTTTGGTTTTTTACATTTATGTATCGTTGTTTTATTTGGGATTTGTGTGTGTTTTATTATGTAAGTTGGGTTTTTTTTTAGGCCCTCTCATACAACCTTTCTGTACTTTTCCGCTTTAATATATTAGCCATTGTGCTTTCTCTTATATATATATATATATCGCGTGATATATTAATTATAGTACGTTATAATGAATGTTGCTAATTTTTTTGAATAATCATATATGAATAATCTCTCAAATGCTTTTATACCTTTTTACTATATTTTGACCATTTATTTATTTATTTTTTTTTGTGTTACTATTGATAGCAAAACATATTTTGGACTAATACACAGGTTTAAATTTTGGATTAGAAATGAATAATAGACGAAAATATATGTATCGAAGACATATTTAGTAAATAAAAAGATAAACTCATTTTAATTTTTTAAAAGTTAAGCTTATTTAAATTATATTCGACAGTGACATTTTTAATTTATTTGGATGGTTATTCGTTAGTGATAGAAATTGATAATTAAAAAGAATTTCACCGTTCAATCATCTGTTCCGATTTGATAATTCTAAATTGCAAAATCAGGTCGTGATAAAAGCCCCATGTTATATCCCCCTCGCTCCACCCCCTTATATTGTGCCATTGGGGATTCAAAACTATGTCCTGTGCTTTGATAGACCGATAATAAATTAATGTGGGACCATTTAGCAAAACCAACTATTCAAGAATCACAAATTGATGGAGAGACACAATTAGGGTTTATATAAAATGGTCCTACCACTTAAGATCCATGATACACCACAACGCCCATAACTTAGTTGTGTATCGTATTCAAATGTAGGCCCATGACTCAATCATTCGCTGAAGACCACGAGAGACATGGCAACTATCTATATTGTTCTTTTCTTAGTTCTATGCCATGGGTACAATACCTTGGGGGCATGAAAGATTTGTAATATATGAATTTTTAGTACAGATAAGTCCATCTTATAGTGTAGCATCTGTCCTCCAAGGTTTCTCATAGGTGTATAGTTCATATGTAATTTGTGCTTATTAATGTTGCACAGAGCCTAACACACATTATTTAGGTTTTTAACATAATAATTTAATCGAGTAAAATAAAAAAAGTTGAACTATGAGATTGTTAAGGTAAAATTAAGTTATTATTTAGTATGATATTAGGTTTGAAAATTTATCAGGATAATTCTCTATTTACAATTATATCAAAATAAATTATACACCATATTTTGTTTCAAAATCCCCATTTTAAAAAGTTTATAAGTAATAAATACATTTACGTGGTTGCCTTATGGAAGGTGTGCTTGCTTTGGCTTGAGCCGAATTTTGCTTGTGTGTGAGCCAAAAATTGAATGCTCAAGGTATTGAAAAGACAACTTCGTATGATAAATTGTGAGGAATTAGATGGGCTTTTACTAGCGTATGCTTTATGGCTGATGATGTCTGATGAAAAAAAAAAATCTGAGAGGAGTGAAACCTAAGACAAAATACAAGGATGATTAAAGAGAAGAGTTAGAGAGAAGAAAATAAATTCTTACGAGTCTAGAGTGTCATCCTAATAAACCATACCATGCTTATACTTAACATACTGAATTGATTCCATTGCATATTTGAATGTTCCCTTTTTAGGAATTTTTGAATTGGATACTTTTTGGTATGAAATTAAATCTTCTTTCTTTATTGTCTCTCTTATGTCTTATTTGTAATTAGAGATTAGGAACTTTTCTTTTGTCATGAGATTGTATGCTTGGACTTGTGGAAAAGCATGCGGCCTCTTTATTTATAATGTAGCTTCTCTTTAGCGGATCAAAAGTTCTCTTCATTGGATGTAGGTTTATTTTAGCTAGATCATGCAAATATTTCAATCTTATGTTAGTTGATCTTCATTTCATCTTATCCAATCCTTATTAGCGCTTTCAAATAACCTTACATGTAATAGTAACAACGACTGCACTGCCTAAATGTATTTGGAAGATTTGCATACGCACCACTCAATTTTTATGTATTTACATAGCTAACGCCCAAACTTCAATTTTTACATACATATTACCTTACTTATGCATAAAAAGGTGTATATCACTTTTAAAAAATTAAAGTGGTGGTATTTTCTTAATGAAAGATTTGGGTTATGCAAATGTAAAAAAGCAATGTATCTTTTGGGTTTTGATCTGCTTACCATTTTTTTTTTTTGCTTTTCATTTATTTTTTTAAAACTAATTAATGCAGAATTTTGTTTCTTTTTTAAAGTCATTCCTTTGTTCATTCACGTTATTATCCAGGATGATTATCGGCTAGTGGGAGCGTGTCTATCTGGACAAATATATGACTCAAGTCCTGCAGATTTTACTTCTGATGTCGGAATTCGTTTTGTCCTTCATCCATCCGTTTTAAGGTTGTCTCATCCTCCAAGACTGTTGGCTTGGTTAGCAAAAGGTTTTGCATCTGGTTTGGATGCACTATTCATAAACAGATTTGAAGCTGAACGTGCTGAATATTGGCAGACTTTGTATTCCTCTGTTGTAGGGCATCCTTCTACTTTGTTAGCATTAATACACTATGGGACCGTTTGGGATCATTTTTGTTTTTGTTTTCCACTTTTTGTTCTTATTTTAATTTTTTTATGTTTTGATTTGAGTTAAAATATGTTTGGTTGATTTTGTTATATTTTAAAATACTCAAAACATCTTTTATGTGTTTTGAACGTTTTTGAAAGTTAAAAATAATAAATATATAAAAATCAAATCAACCAAAGTTGTTTTCAAAACAGAAGAAAAAATAAAAACAAAAACTGGAAGTAAAAATGATGCTAAACAGGCTCAATGATTTAATTATTTTCCTATCGTCAATATTTATTTGCTATGGTCTCAGAGCATGGGTCCTTTTCTCATTCTTTGCTCTCAAGACGATGAATTGGTTTCGTACCACATTGTTTGGGGTTTTGCTCAACGTTTACAGGAGCTTGGAGGTGACGTCAGCTTTATCAAATGGAGCAGGTCTCCTCATGTTGGTAAGCTTTTATTAACTTCGTACATATTTTTGTCTCAGTAGAGTGTTCAACCAGAAATCCATGAGGCAAATTTCTTATACGTACTTCGATGCTAATCATTCTTTGATTTTTCTGTTTTTGATATTACTTCTATGGGCAATACATAGGGCCAAGTTTTGTTAGCATTGAAAGAATGGTTAATTAAATAGTCTTGCTTTCATTTCTTGTGGTTCTTTTTTTGGAGCAAAAATTTTTGAAACTTGTCAATGAAATGAATCGACATGAAGCCATTACTAAGAATTGTTGGTTGAAAAGAGGAAATAAAATTTACATCATCAAAGATAATAACAAAGAAGATAAGACCCTTCTGATGGAAGATGAGAACACTTTGAGTCCTTATCTATATGATCTTGCTTGAAGTCTAGTAATCTTCGTGGAGTGGAAATATTGTTTCCCTTATTTTTGCCCCTCGTAGCAATACTAACATTAGATTCATTAGACTCAAGACAACAATCTCAAATTCCAAGTCAATATATAAAGTTGGTTCTAAGTTTTATTTTTAAACCAGATCAATAATATTGGGAAATGTCGCCATGATATGTGAAGATAGATTCTGATCATTTGAATGCTCTCCTAAAACTTGAGTTCTATGATAGTATAAGTTGATTCTTTAATTATGGTTGAGCCTTGAAATATCCTATGTAGTGTGCCTTCGAACTCTAAATTCTGCCAATAATCACATGATGCAAAACCGATCAAATTTCTTTCTTCAAAGGTGAAGTAACATGCTTTTCTAATGAAGTTCCTTACTATTGGTGACCCAGAGAGCTTAGCAGTAACAACATTTATTTATAAAATTCACCGAAAATAGATTAAAGAGAATACATAGTGGATTGGTTGAAGTAATCACTTTGGATATGCGAAAAGGCAACTCAAATTGGGGTTATAGGTGATTTCTAAGAACAATTAGAGTGAGGAGATCATTTAAGCATATGTATTGAATAACCATTAATATAGTATCATTTAAGCAAGGGTTCCCACATTACAGGCGGATGCGGGTAAAAATGTTAGTTCATGAAACTAATATTAGGATATGATCTTGGAGTATAAGTACTCTCACATGTAAATTAATAGAATTAATTGATATTATAATTCATAGAAAGATAAATATCTTATGTATTGAATAAACTAAATGGGTTGGAGAAAAGATTAAGGAAATTGACAACTTAGATTTTAAAATTTAGAATTCAGGTAAGAGTCATACTAAAAATGGTGTAAGTGTAGTTATAGATAAGAGTTTGAAAGATAATGCTGTAAAATTAATAAAATGGGAGATATAATAATAGCCCTTAAGATTATTGTTGATTCTAATATTTTTAATATTATAAGTGTCGATGCCCCTCAAGTAAGTTTAGATATAGGTTCTAAAGAAAAATTATGGAATGCTAGAAGAATTAATACAAATGGTACCTGTTGAAGAAAGAATTTTTATTGGAGAAGATTTAAATGAACATGTTGGCAGATTGGTAGAAGATTTTATAAATATTCATGGTGGTTACAGTTTTGGAGTGATTAATGAAGAAGTTAGAGCTATATTAGATTTTGTTCAAACATATGATTTTGTTATTCCTAATATTTTATTCAAGAAAAGAAATAAACATATTATTACTTATAAGAATGAACATAAATAAACAGAAAGTGATTTTCTTATGAGAATAAGAGATCGTCAAGAATGTAAAGATTGTAAGTTCATTTTGAAGTGAGGATTTAAGTACTCAGCATCGATTATTAGTTCCGAATTTTAAGATGAAGAATTGTAAAATAAAGAATACTACGAATTATTGTCATATAATTAGATACAAGCACTTAAATGAAACAAATAATTTTTTTTTTATAAGTAAACTTCAAGATTTTGGATGTTCTTGAAGAAGCAAATTCTATGTTGGATAACTTAACAAACATTATTAAACAAGTGACAAAAGATGTACTTGGAGAATCAAAAGGAAAAAAAAATCTATAAATTAAAATAATTGGTGGTGCAATCGTAATGTCCAAAAAAAGATAAGATATAAAAGTTATGTTATAAAAATTAGTTTAAATATAAAAACATACAAAACTGAGAAAAATGGCTTCTAAGGATTCTAAGAGAATAATTTGTGACGCTAAAAATATTGCTTTTAATGATTTTTATAATAAATTAGACACTAAAGAGGGTAAAAAAATATGTGTATAAACTAGCCGAACAAAGAGGAAATAAAAAAAGATTTTACTCAAGTAAAGTGTATTAAAGATAAAAATCGAAGTGTGTTTTTTTAGAAAAAAATATTCAACATAGGCAGGTAAGCTATTTTAATAATTTTTTAAATTAAGTTTCTGAAAATACGATCGACCTTAGTGATCTTAATATCGTTAATAATTATAAAATGTTTCATTTTTGTCGTCCTATTAGTAAAAAAGAAGTTAATGCTTTAAAAAAAATAAGGGTGGAAAGTCTGTAGGACCTGATGATATCTCAATTGAAGTATGAAAATTTTAGGAGATTTGGGAGTTTCTTGGCTTACTAAACTCTTTGATGTTATTCTAAAAACTGAAAAGGTGCCCTGAGGGCTGGAGGAAGAGTATTTTGGTCCCAATTTTTAAAAATAAAGTGGATGCACGAAAGTGACGAATTATAGAGGAATTAAGTTGATGTGTCGTACTTTAAAATTATGGGAAAGGGTAATTGAACATATGTTAAGATGTATTATAAAGATTTCTTATATTCAGTTTAGATTTATGTCGAGCAGGTCTACTATCGAAGATATACATTTATTGAGAGGTTTGATGGAAAAGTACAATGAGAATAAGGAAGATTTAAATATGATTTTTATTTATTTAAAAAAAACTTATGATAAGGTTTCAAGGGATATCCTTTGGAGAGTTATAGAGAAGAAAGGTGTTGATATGACTTATATTCAATTCATTAAAGTTATGTATACTAGTGTTGTTACTTGTGTTCGAACATAAGGAGGATTGGCCAATTGTTTTCCAATTTCAATTGGATTACATCAGAGATCGACTTTGAGCCCATATTTTTTTGCTTTAGTTATGGATGCTCTTACTGGACATTTATAAGAGGATGTACCTTGGTGTATGCCTTTCGCTGATGATATCCTTCTTGTGGATAAGAATAAAGAAAAAACTCAAGAAAAACTTGAATTATGGAGGTTTACATTGGAGTCTAAAGGCCTTCGTTTGAGTAGAACTAAAACTTAATACATGGAATGTAATTTTAGTTTAGTAGCTCTAGTGACAGAGGTGTAACTATGGGTGATCAAATTAGTAAAGGTATGAACGCTTTAGGTATCTCAGATCTGTTGTTCAAAGTGATGGCAATAGAGATAGGGATGTTAATAGTAGAATTCAAGTTGGTTGGTTGAAGTGGAGGAATGTTTCAGGCCTTTTGTGTTTGTAGAAAAGTACCGCTTAGATTTAAAGGAAAATTTTATAAGATGGTGGTGAGACCTGCAATGCTCTATGGTGCTGAATGTTGGCCTTTTAAAAGAGAAGCATAAAACTAAGTTAAGTGTTGCCGGGATGAGATTGCTTAGGTGGATGAGTGGCTTTACACTTAGAGACAAAATGCGAAATGAATGCATCTGTGATATTGTTGTAGCTCCAGTGGCGAACAAAATTAGAGAGAATCGTCTTAGATAGTTTGGTCACATTAAACGTCGACCATCTGATAATCCGGTTATGAGAGTATATGTTTTAGATTCGACTTATGTTAAGAAAGGCAGAGGTAGACCTAAAAAGACTTGGGCATTTTGTATAAAAATGATTTTAATTTATTAGAATTAAATGAAAATATGACTCAATAGAATACAATGAAGAAAACTTGATTCATGTAGCGGACCCCACTTAGCAAGATAAAGGCTTGTTGTTGTTATTGTTGTATTATGAGAAAAGTCTAGAATATTGGCAATCAATCACAAATTTAACATGAATTTGTTAATAATCTTAAGGTTAGGATGAGATGAAGTTACCACCAATAACGAAGGAAAAATGGGACACTAATTTAGAGATCTCATAATAGAGAATAAGGCCAGGTTTGCTATGAAGTATGAATGGCATTTTGTGTTGAGTTGCTAATGACTGTCGAATCTTGCTAAGAGAATAAGGAGATACATGAGGAAGTAGATTGAAAATTTAGACCTAGCTTCCTCGAGCACAAAAGGTTTCAAAAGGCAAGCAATAGAAATATCTAATTGGCTTAAATTTCTTATTCACATGACCAAAAGACCTCGAGTTCAAAATTTTTCAACGGCAATATAATATCCATTTTAACCAAGTCTCTAGACATAAAAGGTCTTAATAGATGAGAAGTAGAAATATCAACTGATAAAGGTTTATTATAAATAGATTTTAAATGAAGTTGATTGAATATTGACAGATAAATGCAAACCAAGTTGTGGAAAAGCTCCATGAATTAGAGTGATTGGAGGTTCTAATATGCATCAAAATGAGTAGATAACTTAAGCACATGCATCTGAAAGCCACTTCATTGTATGTACTTATAAAATAAAAAATTCTTGTATAAACTACATTTGGGATAATCTTATATTGTCGATGTTGTGGCAAGGATCAATTAACTCAATTGAATGGTCACCAATTAAGTGAAGGCATGACAAGTTTACAAATAAAGTGGCCCAAAAAGCTTAGGAATATGATTGCTCATTGATCTGTTCAAAATGTTATGAAGCACGTGACATCACAAAAATATATACGTCGATTGAATAGTATATGAATTTAGAGTCCAATTATCGATCCAAAAAAAAAAATATTTATTTTCAAATAAGTTGACGTACTAATTTACTAACCATAAGTCTAGTTCAAAATATTGAAATTGTTGAAAGCATCTAAATATTTATTTTGTAATATTAAAATCTATTAATATTTTCTTCTCCAATATGAACACATGCCTTTTTGAATTGGACAATGTGAATCCTCATGTTCTCCCAATGAATCTCTCAAACTTAATA